GGTATACAAGTAGTGTTCGTGGATTGAATGTCTTATGTCCACCAACATTACTAATGTGTTTTGAGTTGCAAATAGGACATATGTACACAATACTTGGCAGCTGAAAAGTACATTTTAGTGCTTAAGTGCCTATCCGTCAAAATGTTTTATTTGTCTCTAGTTTCTTTTTGTTGAAAGGGTCCACAATGCTTATTTAGTATTTTTTATTATTTTTTCGTTTATAAATTTGTGCATACAATGCCTATCCCGTTGCCTCATATGTTCTCTATGATTTGCGGATGACACCGCTCTACTTGTAGATGGTACTTTATGGTACGGTGAAAGGACCGAGGATGCCGTCTAGAGGTGGTGAATTGTCATTTCTAAAATTCAACCCTTTAAAATGCGGAAACGATTAGTGTTGGAGCTTCCAAAAACTTGAAAACTCCAAATCAGAGAAATAAACCTCTCACGAGTTAGCCAAAAGAGAATACAAAGTATAAAGAATATATCTAGAAGCTACAACCCTGCAACACAAAGTTAGAGCAGTGAATAAACAAATTCAGCGCAGGCTCCAAATACCGGACGCGTCCGGTATACGCGGGGTTGCCGGATCAGCCCTCGATTAGCTCCGATCGATTTCTCTTTTCAAACCACGTTGCTGACACCTACTAGTGACCTGTCAACAAGCTCAAGCAACGCACGTAGATCACAAATGCCAACTGAAAAGAGAGATCGAGACACAAGAATTGTTTTACCGAAGTTTGGCCTCCGTCGAGACCTACTCTCCGTTGAGGGGGCTGCGAGCGACCCAACAAAGGTCAGCTCTAGAGGACCACGAAGGCCACTCTAGCCAGAGTCTTTTCGAACTCCTTTTCCTCCTGCCACTAGATGACCCCTTTCCCTTGCGACGGTGGAATCGAACCGTTACAAACTTCCCGAGGCACACCACAAGCTCTTGGGTGCTCTCCAGCGATGGCTAGCCGTCTAGGACCGAAGAATCCAAGAGTAACAAATGCAAAACACAAGATCGACAAATATGCACAAGTGCTCAAGGGTGGCTTGCTCTCAAGTTGAATCTCACTCAACCCACAAGATGGATTTTGCAAGTTTGAATCAATCACTCACTAAGAGAGGGTTGGGGAGTGTTCTTAAGGCTAAAAAACGTGAGAGAATGTCAGCAGAATCAGCAGTCTCCAAAGGTGGAGGCTAAGGGGTATTTATAGCCCCTTTGAAAAACTAGTCGTTCGGTAGCAATACCGAACACGTCCGAATTGGCCGTACCGCCCCAATGGTCACTATGTCGGTGTCGCGCGAGACGTACCCCCAGAACTCCCGACGAGCCAAACCAAGAACAACAGAATTTACCGTTGTAGGGCAAATACCGAGCACGTCCGGTACCAGACCAGCAAGAACAAGTTAGCTCCTTTGTCTCTCAAACACTCAAACCTCACATGGGTTGGCTTGAGCACTTATGAATAGTCATCTATCAACATGATGCATCCCTCTTAATAGTACGGCATACCTATCATCTCAAGATTAAAAGAAAGCGGAGTTGGAAGCGCTTGAGTTGAAATCCTTGAAACTGATTGCCATAGCTTTCAATCTTCGACAAGTGAGGGTGACAATCATGTCAATTTGATTTTCTCCTTGAGCATAGCCATCTTGAGCATTTGACTTGATTCCTTCCAATAAATGAGAGTTTGCTTCAAAGGTATCAAGTCATCCTTTTGTAAAGTCATCTAGAATTTGATCCTCCACTTCAATATGACCAACATGGTTTGATTGGTGCCTTGACTAAATGCAAGTACTTTCTTCTTCACCCCAGCTAGGTTCCTCGGTCGCCAAGCCATTGCTTGCCCTTCACCCTTGCTTAGTACCTCGAAGTCTTTCCTTGCTATCTTCACCATCTTAATCCATCTAGTCACACTTGGTGTCGAATCATTCATTAAATTCATTTGTATACTTGTCTTTGATTTAGCAAGCTTCAAAAGGTGAGACCATTCTATATGCAATCCCTCATGTCTTATTAATTGTCTTTCAACGTGCTTGCTTTCATATGAGTCATCAAAATCCCACGATGAATAAGCCTTGCATGAATTATATTTGTATTGTTGTCTTGTGTTTGAACTAGATTATTTCCAACAATACATCATTTTGGCTTTCATTAAATACCTATGAGACAACCTAATACCTGTCCACACTAAGCAAATGGGTTAGACCTTTAATCACGTTGTCATTCAATCATCCAAAACCCACTAAAGGGCTAGATGCACTTTCATATGGTTAGCCTTATATGGGGTTAACCACACCATACTGACAACAACAATGCATGGCAAAATACATACAGGACTTGTCGGTGCAGAAAGTGATCAACACGTAAATATTTGTAGTTTTACCGTACGTTGTGATTGGATGTGGCCTAGCACTTAATGACACAGGGTTTATACTGGTTTAGGCAACGTGCCCCCCATCCAGTTTGAGTCGGTCGGTGACTTTATTCCTGAGCCTAGGTGCTCAAAGTTTGCTGTGGGGTTACAAACGAGAGGGAGAAAGATGGGGGTTGTAAGAGGTCCGGTCGGACTCCGGACTGAAGGGCCGAGAGTGACGGGAGCTCCTACGTGTGCTGAGTATTCGAGAGTGTGCTCGAGGTTTGAACCTGGTGGTTCTGTTATTATGTGTTGAATAATCGATCGAGAGCCCCCCTTGTTGGGAGAGAGCGCATCCCCTTTTATAGATGAAGGGGACGGCCTTACAAGCAAGAGCGAGAGAGAGAGAGAGAGAGTACGTATGCTGGTAAGTCTTGTTGCTCACGCCATCGGGTACAAGGTGATTGTAGGCGCCCACAATACTGTTGATGTCAGACGCATGTGGGAGGTTTTACCGTCATTTACCATGTATGGTAAATGACGGCGCCCACAACACTATTGATGCCCAAAGGCATGTGGGGAGTCTTATCGTGTTCGCCTGGTATGGGAATTGATGGCGCCCATAACACTGTAGGGCAAAACGTCGACGCCCGCAACACTGCTTGGGTTCTGACATGCCTAGAAGGTTGCAGGGTGCCCTTCTGCCATGCCCTGTCGGTACTGTCCTGCAGGTGTACAGGGGACGGTCCTCGGTATTGCGGTTGACTTGAGCGTCCTGCTTTACTTGCTCCGCCTGTTTCCTGGTCCTCACCAAGCGGGCGTCCCCGGTCGGTTGGTCCCAGTCGGCTCCAACTGTGCCAGTCGGAGAAGAGTTGTAAGCAAAGGTTTGGTGCACCCTCGGTCGGAGTCGGAAGTGGCATTGGCTATGCCTTCCGGTCGGAGAGGCGGGCCGTAGTCGGAAGCGAGCGTTGTTCCTCCTTGGTCAGGCCTTCCGATCGGAGAGGTGGGCCGGAGTCGGAAGCGCGGCCTTCCGGTCAGAGAGGCAGGCCGTAGTCGGAAGCGAGTGATGTTCCTCCTTGGCCAGGCCTTCCCGTTGGAGACTGGATTGCTCTTCTGGCCTGTCGTTTCAGGTAGTTTTGGGTCGGCCCAGGAGTTGCGTGTCGTTCGCAACGTCGTTTGCTAGGCCGAGCTTTTGCTGGGAAGCTGATCCATGAGGGACCCCGGGTTCATGAACCCGACAGGACTAGAGTATATATATTAACTAAATAAATGTTTGTGTTACAATACAAAAGAAAAATAAAAACTAAAAAGAACACTAAATATTTTGTAAAAAGGGGAACAAAATTAGTTAGCTCTAGGTCTCTAACGTTCATCTGATCAACATATTCTTAGGCTACACAAAAGACTCACAATAATAACATTATCAAATTAAGTAGATAAGGAAGACTAATGCCAAATAATATAGATTCTGTTAGAGATCAATTTGGAGGGAGAGCAAACACGTAAGCACTAATTACATTTAACTAGATAATTAAAGGGTGTATTGTGGGGATGAACTACATATTTAGTAGGCATAGTAGAAAGAAAAAAAGAGGGAGAAAATAATAGGAAGACTAAATTTCAATTATATAAGTTGACTATAGGGTGTACTGTAGGAATGAACTAGACATTTGGTAGGCAATAACAGAAACAACAAAAGAGATGGAGAAAATAATAGGAAGACTAATTCTTAATTATACAAGATGACATTAAAGATTAATATGGAGAGGACAAGAAACAAATAAAAATAGTATTGTTAACTAGTTAATTAGAGTAATATTGTTAACTAGGAGGCATATTGTAGGGAGTGTAGAAATGTTGGGGGTGACAGGGCCCGCTCAGCCCCCTTCCCTCTGCCACTAATCCTCAATCTTTCACACATTTTATTCCTAAAAGTATGCAAGAAAAGTCTATATAATACTCCATATATTCTAAATTGTATATTTGTAAGTCATTTTTACTTTTATAATACAATACACCTAGACATATGTTGTGTTTAGATATAGATGGAAAACTGTGTATCTAGTCTAGAAAATAAAAACGACTTACAATTTAAAACAGAGAGGTACTTAAGAACAAGTCCATTTTTATCCATCCAACTTTTGCCAGTGTTTTTCTTTGGCCATTCAACTCTAAAACTACAAAACTTTAACCGGCAAACTATTAATACCAAGCAAATTTGGCCATCTTGCGGGTTTCATAGCTGGTTAGAATTTTTTGGAAAAATAACAAAAATATTTATAATTAATTCATTTTAAATCAAATAAATAACTAAATATAGTAATTTATTCATTGGTACCCTATTTGAAGCTATTTGTGTATTTTTTCATTTACTAAACTTGTCAATCAAAAGAAAAGGTATAGACTGAGAAGAGAGAGATCCGGACGTGCGCCTTGCAAGTGTCGTTTCGATTTGTTGGGCTTGGGCTGCAGTTTCCGGGTTCCATTTGGGCCTGCGTTGATCCAGTCAGAGAATAATCCCAGCGAATTGGAAAAGGAAATTCCAGCTCCACTTCCCGCATGGAGAATTCCCCACCACCAGCACCAGCAGCGGCAGCGGCAGCGCAGGCGACGCGGCCCGATCCCGTCCACCGCCCAGAGGACCCCGCGACGATGCGACCGCCGTCGCCGCCGCGCCCGCCTGTCGCGTTCCCGACGCTGGACTCGCTGGCGGCGTTCCTCCGGCCGCGGCTCCCTCCGGGGGCGCCTGCGTCCTGGGGCGCCGTGCCGGGGACCAAGACCCTGGCGAACCTGTTCCTGGAGCTCGCCGTGGGTGACTGCGCGCTGCACGCTCCCGCAGACGCTCGCCGTGGGTGGTCCGCGCGGTGCACGTGGCCACGGTCCGCATCCGCAACAGCCGCGGTGCGCGGCTCGTGGAGACCCGGCAGCTGCTCTCCGACGGCACGGTCCGGCGGCGCGGTCTGCGGCCGCTGTCCGAGAAGATGCGGCCCGGCGAGTCCCCCGAGGCCGCCGCGGCGCGGGCCGTCCTGGAGGAGCTCGGCGCCCGCGCCCGCGTCCGGATCCTCGGCGGGGACGGCGCACGCGTGGAGGAGCGGGAGTCCGCGTCCTACCCGGGCCTCCCCGCCCGCTACGTGCTCCACGCGGTCGACGCCAAGGTGGTGGACGGCGTGCCCGAGGACGGGGAGTTCGAGACCGAGGAGACCGGCGAGGACGACGGGGACGCCGGCGCCATCACCGTGAAGCGCCACTACTGGGATTGGATCGACGACGACGACGACGACAGTGACAGTGAGCGCAAGGAGGTTGCTGCTGCCGGCGCGCTCGCGCACTAGAGGTTGCTCTGCTCTGTCAGTGGTGCATGTCGAGCAAATCGACGAATTGGGCGGCGCCTCTGTCTCCTGATGATTTTGTTGGCAATTTCTCTGCTTCGGATCAGTTCAGTTGACATGTAGGTTTCCGTATCAGATCACATTATTGTTTCAGTTTCAGAGAAATCGTGAACTGCTCGTTCCTCCCAAACCCACCCAATCAAGAACAAGTCCTCTGAAGTCTGAACTCTGAACACAGGGAGTACTGTACTGTAGGTTACTGTTTGCTCTTTTGCTGCTTCCAGTTTCTGTGCAAGATCATATGACGATTATATACATATGTAAAAGAACCGTGGAATGAAACGGATCGGATCCGTTCCGTGTTTCTGGTGTGGTGAACTACACGAGTAATCAACACCGTTTCATATTTCAATTCAATATATAAGTGTTTAGCAGATCGAGTACAAGTAGCCTAATCTCTACTCTGAAAGAAACATAAACAACCAACACAAGAAGGAACCCCGCACACATATCATTTCCCAAAAGCAAATTTTTGACGACTCGTCCCTCATCGGCTCATCCAATTCATCAGTACTCTTTCATTTAGACCTCTTTGGTTTGGAGCGAGCAGGTCCGCCATGGCGATCCAGAGGTTTCTTGAACGGAATGAAGTCGATCCCAGACATGTAAGGTCGCAGCACCTCGGGCACCCGAACACCGCCCTCCTCCTGGTGCGTCTCCAGGATACAACACAGGGTCCTCTGCGTGGCGGTGAGCGTGGAATTGAGCGTGTGAACAAACCTGTTGCACCTCTCGCCGTCCTTCCTCTGGCCATACGTGAGCTCCCTGTACGTCCCCGACGCCGGGAACCACGCCTCCAGGTCGTACTTCTTTGCGGCCGAGTTGTTCAGATCGACGGACACGACGTTGACGACGCGACCGGCGATGCCGAGCGCCGCGTAGAAGTCCTCCGCGTTCCTGATCATCTCCTCGTGCATCTCCCAGGAGGCGTCGCCGTCAGGGGCGGTGATGCAGAACTGCTCGACCTTCTGGAACTCGTGGGTTCTGAAGATGCCGGCCGTGTCGCGCCAGTGCGAGCCGGCTTCTGTCCGGAAGCAGGTGGAGAAGCTGACGTACCGGATCGGCAGCTGGTCGGGACGGAGCTGCTCGCCCTGGTGGTAGTACGCCAGAGGCTGCTCCGACGTGGCGGGAGGTACTTGCCCTCGCCCTCGAGCTTGTACAGCTCCTCGTCATACTCCAGAGCTGCGCGCACTTGCCCATTGCTTCTTTCGTCATCATGTGCGGCGTCCCGATCAGCTTGTAGCCTCGCCGTCGCAGAAACGCTTTGCCGAAGTAGGCCAGCGCGTTGTTCAGCAGCTCGCCTTCCTCCTTGAGGTAGTAGCCCCTGCCGCCGCCGGCCTTGGCGCCCCTCTTCAAGTCCACGATGTCGAGCGCGACGCAGAGGTCCACGTGGTTCATCAGCTTCTGTTCCATCCTCCTATCTCCGAACACGCGCAGGAGCACGTTGTTGGCCTCGTCGGCGGCGACGGGCAAGGACTCGTGCAGGATGTTGCCGATGGCCATCAGCTTGGCGTCGAGCGCGGACTTGGTCTTCTGCTCCTCGGCCTCCATGTCAGCTTGTCTCTTCTTGATCTCGTTCGTGCCCTCCACCAGCTTCTTCGCCTCCTCCTCATCTTCTTCCTTGCCTGCGACTTTAAGCTTTCCAATCTTCTTGGCGGTGGCGTTGAGCTCCTGCTGGAGCTTGTCTCTAGAGAGAAGCGCAAACGGCGCCATTCTTCGTCGAGCGCGATCACCTCATCTACGACCTCCACGGACGCGAAGCGCCGGAGCTGGGATGTACGGACAAGACCCGGCGGCTTGCCGTCTTTGTTTTCTCCCGTGCGGAAAAGATTGAGGTCGAGCATTCTCGACGGCCGATGGCTTGACTATTTGTCGGCGATGGACGACCGATGGCTTACTGTTTGTAACACAACGGAAATCGCGATAGGGGAACTTGGGGAGTGAGGAGACGGAGCGCGCGATATATATAGGCCGGGCGGCAGATTAGGCGCCAATCCTGGTCGGTTACGGACCCAAATCAAACGAAGGGACAGTTTTTGTTTCTCCTCGACGGGAGTTCCCGTATCGGATTCGGATGCAGGACATGGTTGAACCTGCAGACCCCCGTGGAACTCCGACGCAGAACTTTCCTTCAGAAAGTCACGGCGTAACTTTCGTTTAATCGTGTGCGTCCAATACGGATCCAAGGGCCCTATCCTTTCAAAGCAAAAAAAAACCTCACGTGAGGGAGGCAAGCGGAGCGGATGCATTCGCCGCCGAACGGAGGATTCCATTGGCGCGTGCACGCGCCCTCGCTGCGCCGCGGAGAAGAGAGGAGGATGGTCGCCGGGTGGACCGGGAGGAGAGGGAAGCAAGCTTGGCTACAGGGACGCAGTCGAGAAGAGGTGCAGACTGCCCGAATGCAGCTGAACTGGGACGCAGTCGAACACCCGGCGACCATCCTCCTCTCTTCTCCGCGGCGCAGCGAGGCGCGTGCATGCGCCAATGGAAGCCTCCGTGCGGCGGCGAATGCTTCCGCTCCGCTTGCCTCCCTCACGTGAGGTTGTTTTTGCTTTGAAAGGATAGGGGCCCTTGGATCCGTATTGGACCCACACGATTAAACGAAAGTTACGCCGTGACTTTCTGAAGGAAAGTCACTGAATCCGCGTCCATGGAACTCCCCGCAATAAAACGAACACCGACCACCGGCAGGCTTTCGATTCTTTTGTGATTATTATGCAAAGTACAACACTGAGATTTTCCCTTTTTTTCCCATGAGAGATCCAGCAATTTCCTGTAGATTTATATATAGCACCGGACCATTCCCTCCATTCTAAAAATAATGCAATTTTAGTTTGGGACAAGTTAAACTTTTTTTTGACCAAGTGTCCAAGTCTATATTTATGTCTCCAAACAAATTTGCAATATGAAAATATATTTCATAATTAATTTAATAATTTTTTTGGTAGAACAAAATATTGGTACTTTTTTATATGTATAGATTTGATCACATTTGAAATTATTGACTCATCGAAAATCGATAAGTGAGAATAGTAAGTTTGTTTAGATAGAAAGGTGCGCAGCTGCCTAGAGTTTTGTTGTTTCCGTTTTTCAGGAAAACCATGTTTATAGTAAGCATGTAAAAAAAACCATGGAATGTTGCATATTGAATTCATGATGAAGTCATAGCACTGGTCACCACGAATTCAGATTTCATACACCTATTTATCATTGGGAATTCATTTACCTAGGTGTATATATATATATATATATATATATATATATATATATATATATATATATATATATATATATATATATAATTTGTCCTAGACGTCGCTAGTACACTGCTAACTTTAAAAATTATTAGATATTATTATAAAATCATTCTATTTTGAAACACATGCTAAGTTCACACCAAATACGTTTGTTGTGAGTTGTGAACCCAGTCATCACTAGTTGGGTTTTGACAATTGTGGGCTTCGACCATGAATTGTGAGTCGGCGTGTATATATAAGTGGAAAAGGTGTATGTGACCTCCTTCAACTATTACGTGAGTATGATTTATCTTCCTCGGTCAGAAAATTAGATTTTTATACTCCTATAACTCTTGAAACTATCTAATTTATCTCCCTATAAGTGGTTTTTTTCTGACATGGCGTCATATCAACCGCCACGTCCGCCACTAAGGAGGTAAATCGGACTTTTGCGATAGTTTGGGGAGGTCAATATAAAAGATTATAGTAATACTTTTTTTAAAAAAAATCCAATTTCTTTTTGCAACAAATATGTGTTTAAAACACAAAGGTAGACCATTGCTTCGATTGTAGATTCTTTATTGGCCAAGCAATTCTTATATCACGCGAAGTCATGGGAAAACACCACATGATTGACTTTTACCGAATTCTAAGCAAAGTAAGCATAAGTTATGTTCTAGCAAGGCAAAACAAACACGTTACAAGGTGCGAGAAACAATTCAGGGATCATATAGCTCAAATAGGTTTTCTGTACTAAACATTGTGATTTTGTTACAGGCATAATGAAATTCGGTTGCGACCGGTGAGGAAAAAAATAGCTCAAATAGGGAATTTGGGGTTTGGTACTCATATTGTAACGTAAATGCAATACGTACAACATAGTTCAATTCATGCAATTGTAAAACAAGCAAGACGCTTAGGAGCTTGTTTGATTCTCTTCCTAGCAGTCTGTGGGCTCAGATTCAGATATGTGGTCAGCCCCAGGGTTCATGTGGGGGGTCACTTCTTCTGTACGACACATTGGTAAAGAATGACTGAGCTTGATGTCAATCAACCTGTTCACTTATTGGTTTCAACCAGGGCTTATCAGCCATTCAACAGTGTTTTCCTCTCACAACAAACCAGCACCAGCCGGTTTATCAGTCCAGAAACCAACCAGCGAACAGGCCGAATGTATGACAAAACTTGAGCAATACTTGAACCATGATGCTTATACATTACATGGTACGTAGGTAGTACCCTAAAGTACTTAGGTCATAGGGTTATCGGCTGTTGTTTGCCTTTGACAGACCGTTCGTTGGGGTCTCATGGTCCTCCCATGAAGAACCAAGAGGCAAAGAGAACTCGTTGCTGGCTGCATGGCGATGCTCCCTACGGGGAGTCACCTCCTTAGAGTTAGAGACTCTTGTGGGGCGCCCCACCTATTGTACTTCGCCAAAGAGGCTCCCTAGGAGGGGCCACCGCTATCTTCTCTTCGCTGTAGACATTCCTGGTGGGCCGCTGTCGTCACTTTGTTCTCTCCCGCTGAGTAAGACGAGGAGGACGTGCAAAGACTAACGCATGGAGGAAGACCCGCCATGGCGAAGAAGGAGGTGGTGGCCGCAGAGGAAGAGCCCGACACGGAGGAAGAGGAGGAGGGAGGGCGAGGTGGGTGAGTGGTGCGAGGAGGGTGAGCGGTGGGGCGGGAGGAGTGCACGGGAGGATGAGCAAGTGGCGGTGCTAGACCGTGGCGAGGATAATCCAATGCACCGGAGACGGAAGAAGCAAACCATGGGAGGAAAAGGTTGATGATTATAGGGAGAAGCTATTTTTATGTTCTATTTGGGAATTGGTGCAGCCATATAGGCATGGGTGTCGCCAGACATGCAGCACGCGCACGCGTGTGGTGGTGGTGGGGGGGGGCGTGTGACTCATTTCCACTAGAATCGTCGCAAAGGGGGTGACTCATTTCCACTAGAATCGTCGCAATCACTAGTTGGGTTTTGACAATTGTGGGCTTCAACCATGAATTGTGAGTCGGCGTGTATATATAAGTGGAAAAGGTGTATGTGACCTCCTTCAACTATTACGTGAGTATGATTTATCTTCCTCAGTCAGAAAATTAGATTTTTATACTCCTATAACTCTTGAAACTATCTAATTTATCTCCCTATAAGTGGTTTTTTGCTGACATGGCGTCATATCAACCGCCACGTCCGCCACTAAGGAGGTAAATCGGACTTTTGCGATAGTTTGGGGAGGTCAATATAAAAGATTATAGTAATACTTTTTTTTTAAAAAAAATCCAATTTCTTTTTGCAACAAATATGTGTTTAAAACACAAAGGTAGACCATTGCTTCGATTGTTCATTCTTTATTGGCCAAGCAATTCCTATATCACGCGAAGTCATGGGAAAACACCACATCATTGACTTTTACCGAATTCTAAGCAAAGTAAGCATAAGTTATGTTCTAGCAAGGCAAAACAAACATGTTACAAGGTGCGAGAAACAATTCAGGGATCATATAGCTCAAATAGGTTTTCTGTACTAAACATTGTGATTTTGTTACAGGCATAATGAAATTCGGTTGTGACCGGTGAGGAAAAAAATAGCTCAAATAGGGAATTTGGGGTTTGGTACTCATATTGTAACATAAATGCAATACGTACAACATAGTTCAATTCATGCAATTGTAAAACAAGCAAGACGTTTAGGAGCTTGTTTGATTCTCTTCCTAGTAGTCTGTGGGCTCAGATTCAGATATGTGGTCAGCCCCAGGGTTCATGTGGGGGGTCACTTCTTCTGTACGACACATTGGTAAAGAATGAATGAGCTTGATGTCAATCAACCTGTTCACTTATTGGTTTTAGCCAGGGCTTATCAGCCATTCAACAGTGTTTTCCTCTCACAACAAATCAGCACCAGCCGGGCTTATCAGCCCAGAAAACCAGCGAACAGGCCGAATGTATGACAAAACTTGAGCAATACTTGAACCATGATGCTTATACATTACATGGTACATAGGTAGTACCCTAAAGTACTTAGGCCATAGGGTTATCGGCTGTTGTTTGCCTTTGACAGACCGTTCGTTGGGGTCTCATGGTCTGTCCATGAAGAACCAAGAGGCAAAGAGAACTCGTTGCTGGCTGCATGGCGATGCTCCCTACGGGGAGTCACCTCCTTAGAGTCAGAGACTCTTGTGGGGCGCCCCACCTATTGTACTTCGCCAAAGAGGCTCCCTAGGAGGCGCCACCGCTATCTTCTCTTCGCTGTAGACATTCCTGGTGGGCCGCTGTCGTCACTTTGTTCTCTCCCGCTAAGTAAGACGAGGAGGACGTGTAGCACAACGCATGGAGGAAGACCCTGCCATGGCGAAGAAGGAGCTGGCGGGGCGCAGAGGAAGAGCCTGACACGGAGGAGGAGGAGGAGGGGTCGGCGAGGTGGATGAGTGGTGCGAGGAGGTTGAGCGGTGGGGCAGAGGAGTACGGGGAGGATG